CTTTCCCTTGTGTGCCCTTTCTGCCAGCTCTACAACAGAGAGTGCTGTGCCCACCAGCAGCCTGGGCAGATGGGATGCTACAACTCTATGCAGGCTGTCTTTTGCAGGGAGGGGAGGGTTTTCCTGCTCCCTCCCTTGCTTCATGTCTGCAGTGGCTGGTAAAGCCCCCCTGCTGCCCCTAGGGCTCCATGGGTTGTGCCACCCCCCTGGCAGGGCAACTCTAGCCCCTGGCTCCCTGCCCTGGGTGGGTGCAGCCCCTCCACAGAGGGGCAGGGCAAGGCAGGCCCAGGCTTCATTCTGCCTCCCCACACTTTGCAGAGCCACAGGCTAGCACTCCCACAACTATCCCCACTCCTGCACCCACTGATTAATCATTTAACTTGTTATAATTACAACAGGTGAAACAAATGTGATTGATACTTACATCCTTACTGCTGACAGGCGTGAGAAAAATCCCCAAAACCATGCATTACCAGAAGCAATGCATTAATTGGACCCAGCTCCTCAGCATCTGTATAGATCTGGCACTTTAGTGGGGCTTTTTGGCAATTTTATCTAATAGCTGATTCAATCAGCAATGAGATAAAAGCGCCCCATCTATACAGACGTTGGGCAAGCAGGGTCAAATTGACATGATGCCTTTTCTGGGCATGCACTGGGCTTGGCACAGGAGCCCACAGTTTCAAATGAGCCATTTTGTTGGGGGGGTTTCCCTCATGTCTGTCAGAAGCCCAGTCTGAGTCTAACCCTCAAATATTTTTTTCTGACCTGCACCTGAACTGCAAAATGTGAACTAGTTTACATTCCTACCTGAACCTGAACCAGTTATAGCTCACCCATGGACACCTGCGGGTACTGGGCTCTGCAGCAGGCCTTGCTGCTGGGCTGCACAAACAGAAAACACACAGCTAATTTCCAGCTCATTTATTGGACTCAGCATTGCACAAGGTGCCCCGCTGGCAGGCAGAGAGCTAGGCACGCAGGCCCTTCACCCCATTCAGGCCCCCTTCCCCAAGGCGTTTATGAAGGGGGCCGTCACCCAGTAAAAGGCTGCTGTCAGCCCTGGCAGGGGGCACACTGCATGCTGAGATGAGAGCTAGGGAGGGCTGGCGCTAGCCCCTCTAGCAGGGGCAGCTGGACCCCACCTGCTCCCTTCCTGCCCTGCCAAGCCCCCTACTTGGCAAGCTTGAGGAGGCGCTGGATGTCAGGCTCCACGTGGCTGGTCTGGAACTTGGGGCTGTAGCGCTTGAACGGCTCGCCCTCGGGCCCCACCAGGAACTTCTCAAAGTTCCAGGTCACGTCTGCGCGTTGCACGGGGCTCCACACCAGGAACCGTGGGTCTGTCATGAGGGCGGCGGGGTTATCGACGGGGGCAGGTAGGTGAGCCTTCAAGTAAGCGAAGACTGGGTGGGTGTCCTGCCCATTCACCTGGCATTTCTGAAGGAGGGTGAAGTTGGGCTCAAAGCCTCCACCTGGGCGCACATACTTCAGGCTGTTCAGGATCTCCTCATTGGTGCAGTTCTCCTGCAGAGGACAGGACAGGACAAGGACACCTTGAGCAGGGTGCCCAGCCCAACCCTGCCCTGCCCTGCCCTGCTGACACATCCAAGCCCCCCATCCCCCAACAACATGCTCTCTGCCCCTGGCTTAACCAGTTCTGCCAGCTGGGCCTCTACCACAAGCGCTCAGACAGCTTGGGGCCCCAGAGAGGGGAGGACTGACTGGGACTGCCCCATGGTGGTACTCCTGCATGCAGCACCGCCAGAAGAGGGCTTGCTTCATGCTCTGAGCCCCCAACCTTGCACCAGGCCCTGCTCAAGACCAGGACCCTTCACTATGCTGGGTGCCCCTGACCCCAAGATAATGTCAGGGTCAGTCATCAGGCATTGCATGGATTGGCAAAAATCAGTGCCACCCCTGATCCCTCTCAAGACCCATTAGGCTGGATCCTAACAAGATTGGGTCGCCCCATTTTAAGGCGGCAGTGCAGTGATTGGGGGGGGGGGGGAGCTGGGTGGAGAGTGCCATTGTGCTACCTAGACAAGGAGTGAGAGCCAGGCAGTTAGAGGCAAGAGAGAGGAAACTGATGCACAGAGAAGGGGATATGGCCACCAGCCAGGAAGAAAACCCAGGCATCCCAACTCCCAGCCCAGTGCTCTGGTCACTAGGCTACTCAGTAGCTTCCAGAAAACATGCCCTCCCCCACTTCCTTCCCCCAAAACAGCATCATTTAGAGCCAGGGGAAGATGTTATCCCAGGCAATAGCTCTGAAGGCCTGTCCTGGGAGGAACCTGTCTCCCTCCCCATAGAGGACGGAGCAGCTCTAGCGACCCCTTATGGCTAGTGCTCAGTGCTGCAGAGAGGGCTGCTCTTGGCAGGCACTCGCATGGCTAAGACATACAGGGCAAAGTGATGTGCAGAGATGCCCCTCCAGGTCCTGCTGCCTGGGAAGAACACTGGTGGCTGGCACACCAGCCCATACTTTGAGCAGCAGCACTGGCCCATGAGAGTGCAGCTGTGACCAATGCCACTCAGGAGGATCTCAGCCTCCTGGGATGAGCAAAGTCAGCAGGTGAGACCTGTTCTTTGCAAAGGGGTGTGGAAAGGGGAACATCACTGTGGTGAAGGGGCAGCTGGCCCCTGCGAGAGGGATATTGCAGATGGAAACAGCTCCAGAATTGATGTCAGAGTTGGGACCAATGTCACTGCATGGATCTGAAAGAGCCATTCACCTCCCTCCCCCTAGTGCCCGCCCTGGGCCCACATGCCCCTAAAGGGGCTGGTGCTGTACATAGACATCATTTCTAGATGCTGGCTGTGGAAAGCACCCAGCCAGTACTTCACAACAGGGATGATTCTGCCACAGACATTAGATGGCTTGGATGGGTCAGTTAATGTCCCTCTGATGGAAAAGGGGAAGGAACAGCGCAGGGACCACTTACCTGGTAGCCAAACTGGTTGCAAGGAAAGCCCAGCACAACCAGCCGCCGGGGGTACCTGGCCTGCAGCTGGTTGAGCTGGGTGTAATCCCGCACCGTCGTGCCTCAGAGTGAAGCCACATTCTCGATCAGGACCACCCGGCCGCGGAAGTTGTTGAAATCCACTTTCTCCCCTTGCAGGGTGATAGCACTGAGGTCGTAAAAGGACTTGGCTATGGGCGTCATGGCTGCTGCTGTGGAGTGAGCCCAGCAGAGAGGCAGGAACCAGCTTAAGGCTGTCTCTTGCAAGCCACGTGACCAACTGTTCCAAAGGTTTCTCTCTCTCTCTTTCGCTCTTTCCCTGGCGTGACTTTACGGAAATCAGAGACCTCACCTGTGAGTGATCTGGCTGCTTTCAGATGCAGAACAGAAGTAGCAGGTCAGGCCAGTACAGGTCTCATTGCAAGGCTGATGGCTCCAGAAGGGTATTCAGACCAACATGATATGCCTGGTAGCTTTCAATTATTCATGCAAGTCACATTCTTCTAGGACACTGCAACTGCCAGGCTCCTAGCAGCATTAAGAGCCCCCAGGATCAGGGCCACCTTGTGCCAGGCACTATGCAGCTAAGGAGTGAGAGATGGTCTAAGTGCCCTGGCTGGCTCAGTTTCCTTTCCTGCCCATAGTTTAGTTCAACTGCCAGTTCTTTGGTACAGAGCCTGGTTCTTGCCATGTGGGGTTCAGCA